TCGTATAAACTGAAAGGCAGGCATCCCAAGAAATGTAATTTCAAGGAAAGGCTTCCTTTGGGAAAATGAGTAAGTTTTTTCCGTAAATTTTCGACACCGGATCCCCAGGTTGTTGTCAGACTTGAGAAAAATGTATGTATTGGCGCATGCAGATTGCGTTGACAGGTGCTCACCGATCGGTTACGAAACTTACTCGTCCCGGCTAGAGTCTCGTAGGCTGGGTATGGTTAGCTGATGAGGGCTAATAAGCCAGAAATGGATATTTCAGTCTCCCTTGTCCCTTTGAATTTCTGCCTATAGTATGCTAGCCGCTGCGCGGCTGCTAGCGGGGCTCGAGAGTGAGTCCCAAAGGCACAACAAACCGGAACGACTGAGTTACGTATCGATCGGTGAGCGCCGATCTAGCTATATATATGTGTACATATAGCATTCCCTAGTGTGGTGTTTTCTCATCTGCGGGATTTTCATTTGGCAGGAGTGAGGTCACGACAACCAAGGAGCCGCCACCGGTGACGTCACATCTGAAGCGTCTGAACCTGTCTACTCTGGGCCAACAGATCGCAAATCTGTCGCCCCTTCTGCTCTCGGATCCCTCTGTTGCTGCTGCGGCCGCGGCTGCTTCCTTTGGTGGTGGTGGTGGTGGTGGTGGTGGTGGTGGTGGTAGTGCGTCAGGTGACACTGCCGGTGGCACCGACGCCGCCGCCGGAAGTACGCAATCCTCCTCCGGCGTCGCTGCCAGCTCCTCCCCGGTGAACATGTTGAACGATCTCATTCAGCAGATGGTCAGCCTGAAGCATACGCCCTCCGTGAGTCTCGTCGGCGCCAGCGGCGGCGTGACTGCTGAGGCGTCGGAGAACAATGTTGCCACAGCCACAGCTGTAGGGTCGACGGCGAAGCCTTGGCCGCCACTGTCCTCTGCCGAGAAAAAGCAGCTAGAACAGACCATCACCTCTGCCCTCACCAGGGGACAGCGACTGCTGGATAACGAGGCAGCCCGAAAGGCCCTGGGAGGGACCAGTCTTCAGGTCTACATTCACCAGTCGGATATCAAGGAGGGCTCACCTGTGGCTACGTTTTATATGGACTCTAGCGAAGGTAGGTTCTCGGCAGCATCCTACATAGTAGATTTAAGCATTTAGTGTTTCTGTCAAACGTTGGTGCTTGTATGGGGCAGGAACGAAAAGAGGCAGCATAAATCGAATGAATTGTTCTGTACATGATTTATTGTTTCATTTAAATTCCTATGATACACTTATGCACTCACGAGACCGGTTTTGGAAGCTGAAGTAGGCACAATAGTAGATCCGTAGCATCTATGTATCGAGTATGTTCAGAGTGTCACGATAGTTGAGGGCTTGTTCCGTTTCAGGGGACGAGGGGATCAGTGGAATAACCTTACGACATAGAAAAGGGAGAGTGGAATGGCTATTTATAGCTTGTTAGTCGTCATCAGCAGGCCATACCGAACCTCGGATTTTGCAATCCCTGGGGCTCGAACCCGCGACCTTGTTCGTTAGAAGTCTAATGCTCAAAATATTGAGCCACGGGTGCGCTGTCCTGCCGGTTTCCCTCGGGCACGCGAGCAATGGCAGAGGGTGGGTCCCTGCTTGCGATCACCGTGGCTCAGTGGTTAAGGCGTTGGACTCCTAGTTGACAGGCCGCGGGTTCGAGCCCCAGCGGTTTCAAAACCTGGAATTGAATATGGCTGGCTGATGATGGCTAGTAGGCCAGAAATTGCCTTTCCAGTTTCCCGTTTTCTTCTCAGCCATATTATTCTGCCTGTGATATTAGCCGCTGTGCGGGTGCTGGCGGCGTT